ACACAAACACAAAAAGACACACACACACACACACACACACACACACACATCCTAGTCCTCCAGCCTTCCCCCAGCCTTCCCTTTCCATGTATGCTCACTGAATGCTAACCAACATCCCTTTCTTTACATAGAGTAAGTTGTGTCTTGACTTCCCCACTATTTTCTTACTTAGCCACCAAAGAAACTTCCCAGGCTCTCTCTCTTCAGGGAGCAGAGACCATCACAAACATCACATGATGTGCAATTTATGAAGAAATCTCTCCTATTGCATTGGTTTAAGCTCACCTTGTGTTGTCTTGACTCTTGCAGGTGCTGATTCTGGTTTCGGTCATGCATTGGTCAAGCACCTGGACAAGCTGGGCTTCACAGTGTTTGCCGGAGTGCTGGATGCAAAAGGCTCAGGGGCAGAGGAATTGAGAAAAACCTGCTCTGACCGCCTCTCGGTACTCCAGATGGATGTCACCAAGCTAGAGCAGATAGAAGATGCTCACAGCAAAGTCATGGAGAAGACACAAGACAAAGGTACTGACTTCCCTGATTCCTCTTCACCCAACTCACCAATGCCCATCTCTTGTCACTGCCTCTGATGACCACAGCTGCTGACTGCACCAGAGAACACTTGTACTGAGCCCATGACATGTGCCAGAGCCTGTAAGACACACAGATGTCAGGAGTGACTCAGATATAAGTTGTCTCTTCAAAAGAATATACAGAATTCATGTGCAGGAGTGCATATATGAGCATGCATGTGTGTGTGTGTGTGTGTGTGTGTGTGTGTGTGTGTGTGTGTGTGTGTGTGCTCCTGTGTGTGGGGTGGGGGACAGAAGACAACTTTGGCTGTTGTTTCAAATGTGCCACCCATCTTGTCTTTTGAGACAGGGTCTCTCGGTAGCCTGGAGCTCACCAGTTAGGCAAAGTTGGTTGGCCAGTGAACCTAAGGGATCCACCTGTCTCTGCCTCCTCACTGCTGGGATTATAAATTCCTGCCGCCATGAAGGCTTTTTAAGATATGGGTTCTGGGGGATTGAACTTATGTCCTCATGCTTGATAGGTGAGCAATTTACCAACTGAGCCATTGCCCCACCCTCTCTTTCAGCACATGCTATCACCTTCCCACCCTTGTCATCTTGGTCACTCTAGTTACTCTCCTACCCCTGCTCTTTGCCTTCTTCCAGCAATATCAGCATGCATTGGTCTTTCCCAGCTTGACAAACAGCCACAGGAACACGTGGCCAAACCTCCATTAGTTTCTATTGCTTCATACCTGATTGCATGAATACCGGTTCTCGCACCTTCTTACCTGCTCTAGCCAGAGCTACCACTATCATCTTGAAGGCCAAAGTCCTTCTCTTCTCTGTACTGTTCCAAGAGGGCGTTCCCTGCTCAGATTTGGGATCCCCAGCTTCCCCTTTGCTCTCCAGCCCTCTGGCTATTCTCTCTGCTTCCTGGATAGGTCTCTTCCTCCATCCCTCCATTAAATATGAATCTTCCCATTTGAATCCTTCCACTCCCCACTCCTGAAACAGACCACTCTATTATGCCAAGGGCTCTCTGTCCCCTACACATTGGTGGAGCACTTGAAAATACCCATGCTTGTCCTCAGAGTGGGGTACATAACCTGTGGAACCCAATGTGAGATGAAAGTGAGAGTCTCCTAATTGAGTAACTGATTGAGAAATTTAAGATGGTGACATTGGGGTGTTAAACATATGGGAAGTCCCAGTCTCATGACCTGGGGGTGGCTATGTCTGAGTGCCTCCAGGCCAAAGTCCATTTGTTATTCAGTGACTCAGGAACTGACAGAGGGAGAGAGAGAGAGAGAGAGCGAGAGCGAGGGAGAGGGAGAGAGAGAGAGAGAGAGAGAGAGAGAGAGAGAGAGAGAGAGTTTGTGCATGCTTGTGTGTGGGCACACACAGGTCAATGTCAGGTGTCTTCTGTTACTCTTCATCTTGTGTTTTTGACATGAAGCTTGTTTTTTTTTGGCCAATCTGCTTGGCCAACAAGCCCCTGGGATCCATCTGTTCCCCTGCCCCAAAGTGCTGGCATTACAGCACAGTTTTATGTGGGGACTGGAGGTCCTTATGCTTGTGCACTGAGTACCTAACCCATCACACCATCCCCCAGCTGCATCAGCAATTTTTACTTCTTAAATCTCCCTGGGTGATGTTAATGTTTGGTCAGGGTTGAAAAACCAATTTACACTAATACCCTCCGAAGCTATGCAGCCCACCTGTCTAAGCTTCCTCACATCTGGACCTAAACACACAAAATTATCTTCTAAACATTTCCACTCGTATCCCAGAGGTTCAACCCCACTGCCTTCAGAGCTGACCTTGTTATCTTTCCCCTAATGCCAGCCTGAAAGTCGACTTGCTTGCCTGCATACCCAGTCATTTGAGCCAGGGGCCTGGGTGGGGGTGAGCCGCTGAGACCTCTAATTTGACAGCTGAGCTCTCTGCCCTACTGGCCTGGAGTTCTGTCAGTTCTGCCCACTAGACATTTGTCATCTAGCCTCTTCCCAACATCTACAAAGTGCTGTGGTTCCTTGTAAGCCTTCACCAACCCCTGTCTAGGTACCCCAATAGCCTCCTTGCTGCCTGTCTGGGTACCCCAATGGCCTCTCTATTGCCTGTCTGGGTACCCCAATAGCCTCCTTGATACCTGCCTGGGTACCCCAATGACCTCTCTATTGCTTGTCTGGGTACCACAGTGGCTCCCCTGCTGCCTTTCTGGATACCCCAATGACTCCCCTGCTGTCTTTCTGGGTACCCCAATGGCTTCATTTCTGTCTGTCTGGGTACCCCAATGGCCTCCTCACACCTGAACTTCTCCATGAACTTTCCAGTGGAATATAATCTTCGTAACACACATTTCTTATAGTGTCACCCATTCTCTAGAACCTCTGGAATATGGAACCTCTAGAGAAAGTTACTCTGTAGCTGTGGTTTGCTTTGCACATGCTTCATTGTCTGGCCCTGCTCTTTCCCTTCTGCCCAGGCACAATCCAAGCACTTTAACAAAGATTGAAGTTTAACAAAGTTATTCATGGCATAAGGGCCTGTCAAACCATTTCTCTGTAGTATAGTCCACTTGGTACATTCTGGAACATTCCAGAACAGAATGGCATTCCCCATTGCTTCTACCTCCTTGATTTTCCACCTCTACTCCCAGTTCCTATGACTATTGTCATTGCCAACAAAGTCTTTGTGACAGATGCTCCCTACTCCTACAGGGACCATTCACCCGTGCCATCTCTTCCTAACTTTCCTGATGAGCTGAACTGTACTGCTTCCTTTTCCAGACTTATCATTATGTCTTTCTTACTACTGTATCACCTCACTACTGTAATCCCTCTCCTCTCCCACTCCTTATCACCTTCCTTGAGAATAAGATGCATGAGCATATCAGAACTCACTCAGCTGCAAGTGACTCAACCTAGTGAAAACGTACTAACTGCAAAGAAAGAACCTATTTATTTGTTTGCTTTAGGATTGTTAGTTCCAGACATAGCTGGATCCAGGCACTCAGCAATGCCACTGGGGTTTGGTTTCTGCTTTCGAGTTCTGTTTTCACTAGCGTTAGCTTTCACCAGCTGGAGACTGTATGTGGAAGCCTTGGGCACTCCAGGTTCCATCCTTTGCACAGCTGATATTCCCAGTGAAAAGGACCTGCTTTGTTTTGTAACTGAAGGACTATTCTAGAAGGGGATAATAGATGAGTCTTTAATAAGGCAAGTCATCCTCAGTAAAGGCCCCTGTTTCTCCCATTTCAACATCTAGAACATTAAGTATGTATTCGTAAATGGGATACGAAGAGATAAAGGAAGATTGTTAGTTACTGAGAATTATGTCTCAGTAAGATTAGTTTCTTTTTTTAAAAAAATATTGTGTGTGTGTGTGTGTGTGTGTGTGTGTGTGTGTGTGTGAGAGAGAGAGAGAGAGAGAGAGAGAGAGAGAGAGAGAGAGAGAGAGACAGAGAGAGACAGAGACAGAAAGAGAGACCGAGACTGAGACCAAAACAGAGACAGCAGCCATGAACCCTGACCTGGGTGCTCAGAACCAAATGAGTCCTCTGCAAGAGTAAGCTCTCAACCACTGAGCCAGCTTCCCAGGCCCCTAGTCAGCCTTCTCTAGACAGTTTTTCTGGCCTTATCTTTGACTACCCAACAGGGCTGCACTCATCACTCACAAGTCTGAGTTAATAATGTCTTATAGGAGACACTGGATGCAGAATCCTTTCGTGAGGTCTAGCAGGGCAGTGCTGTCTGTCTGTAGTGATGGAGTGATGAGTTCTAGACACAGAAATGTTGTGGTGGAACCTAGGGATGAAAGGATCTGGGAGCTCAACTTTTATGGCATGAGCTCCTGTCATTCTGCAGTTAGCATCCTGAAAGGCAACTGTCCCCTGGGCCAGAATGGGTGGCCCACCTGCCTGCTCACTCCAGGCCTGAGTCAGGTCACAAAAAGTGTCTTCAGATGACTCTTAATGACATTCTGCTATACTCATAGATCCGTGCCTTACTCAGCCATCATAAAAGATACTTCCTCCTGCAGCAGATGGGAACAAAATCTGAGACTCACAGCCAGACTTTATGCAGAGAGTGAGAGAACTTGCGACACTCAAGACTAAACAGGATGTCTTCATCAACTCCCTCCCCTCAGGCTCTTGGAGGACACCAAGAAAACAAGGCCCTCTATCTCAACATGATGAAAGCTCATAGGACCTCACAAAAGCTGAGGCTGCATGCACAGGGTCTGCATGGGTCTGTGTCAGGTCCTATTATGGCTTCCAGTTTAGTGTTTCCATGGGGTTCCTGAATGTGTGAAAGAATAGGTCTCTGATTCTTGTACCTTCTATTTGTTTGTTTTGTCCAATTCTAATGTGTTAGTTTTTGTTTTATCTTACTACATTTTATATTTTGTTTTATTATTATCCTTTAGAAGTCTTTTTTCTAATGAGAGACAGAAAAGGAGTAGATTCTGATGGGAGAGGAGGTGGGGAGGAACTGGGAGGAGTAGAAGAAGAGGAAACTGTAATCAGGATACATTGTATGAAAAAAATCTATTTCCAATAAAAGGGGAAAAAAGAAATTAAGGGGAAACAAAGCAAAGACACTGAAAATGAATTGCCACAGACCATAACAAGGAAGTGTGCATCTAATTTCCTGTAAAAGTTCAGTTTTTAAAGGCAGGATCTCACTAGGCAGTCTAGGCTGACCTCAAATTCAGAATCCCCTTGCCTCAGTCTCCAGAGCGCTGGGATCACAGGCATGAATCACCAAAGGCGGCTAAATTATGATTTCTTTACATGTAAAAACAAACCTCTTAGCCCAGAACCAAGATGTTTTCTGTTGAAACTTCAAGTCCCATTAAGAATTAAAGTCTGGGTCTGCAGAGATGGTTCAGTGGCTGAGAGCCCTTGCTGCTCTTCCAGATAACCTGAGTCCACTTTCCAGTACCACACCATGGCTCTTAGCCACTCGTAACTCCACTTTCAGGGAGTCTGACACTCATGTCTGGCCTCTCTTTCATGCACACAGTGCACAAAACCACCCACCCACTCACCCCCAAACACAAATAAATATTTTTTTTCTTTTTGTGGTGGGGTATTATGTATCCCCGACTGGCCCCAAACTCTCTGTATAGCCAAGGATGGAATTGAACTCCTGATCTTATCTCCACTTCCCAAGTGTTGAGATTATGGTGTGTACCTCCATGTCTGGTTCATGTGGTGCTGAGGATAGAACTCAGGGCTTTATGCATGCTAAGTGATCACTCTACCCATTGAGCCATATTCCTACTCTCAAATGTACACCTCTAACAACTTCTCAGATGCCACTGCTGCTGATGGGGTGGGTGGTGGACCACACTTACAGATCGACTGCTCCACACCACGCTGGAGCTCCAGGAACCTAGAGGATCTGTTCAAGTCTGTCTAGCGCAACATCCCTGTGTCCTGTCACCCCTGTTTCTCTCAGGTCTCCCACTTGTGTTCCAGAACAACACTCTTCAAAACAGAAAGAAATCCCCATGGATTGTTACTGGGTGCTGGTGTGGGCTGTGTGATTCCGGGCTCTTGGTCTCTTATGCGAAGAATTGAAAACAAAAGCTCAAACAGATTTTCAGAGAATCAAAGTAGCTTTATTGGGAGCAAAGTGACAGGTTACAGAGGGACACACTGTCAAGACTGACACTGGGTCACATGAGTGACTGTACTCACAGGCCCCAGGCTACAGCTTGGCGTCTCTTTTTCAGAGGCCTAAGGGAAGGAAGGGCTGGTTACTAAACAGTGTGGTTTGGGTGCCTCTCTATTTTGATTGATACGTTAGGTTATCTAACCACTTCAGTACTGTGCATGTCCCTTCCCATAATGCATCTGATTTTTTATCACAAACACACCCAATTGTAAAAAGGCATTAGATGGTACATAGGGAATTCTCCCTAAAAGGTTACTAGAGGAATCAGTTTCACCTTACTGCACACACACCCAGTACCAGTTCAGGCTGAATGAGCCCTTCTAATCTGTACCTGGATATGTGGGGAATATACTCAATAGAAACTGTCTGAATATGATTGTTACCGGAGGTGAGTGTTAGGAGATGCAGTGTGTGTAGTATTATGCAGGGCTTCTGAAGCTGTTAGATACATGGTCTGTGAGAGATGGGTTTTGGAGTTGTGTGTGTGTGTGTGTGTGTGTGTGTGTGTGTGTGTGTGTAATATGTCAGAAGAAGAAACTATGCTATCAGCCAAGTGCATTATTAAAGAGGAGAGGCCTGAGCAACCTAAAACTGATGGAGAGCTCCAGGCTAAACTATCTCCTGCTTTGCCTGAATTATTGTATTCATTCTTTCCCTCTCTCTTGGAATCTTGGCAAGGTTTAAACACTACTTGTGTTTGGGTCCACTCTCTTTCCCACCCCACAGGTTGATCTAATAGGCTGAGAGGTAGTCTGAGCCTTGGGGTTGCCTGAAGAAACAGTATCCTAATGTACCAGGAGGGTTCAACAGCACTGCTGGGGGCAGAGGCTTTCCAAGGTTGGTCTATAACTCCAGTATCAGCATCCCTTGGGACTTAGCAGAAAGGCTGATGCTCAGGTCCCACCTCATGTGCACTCAGAATTTCTGGTGGTAGGACCAGGAGTGTGTCTAAACTAGTTGTTCTGTGATTCTGATGTTCAAGGAGACACATTGTCTGGACCAGGAAACAGGGCTTCATTGCAGTCACCCCTACTGTTTGTATTTTCCTTCTTGTTTCTATGTTTTTAGTTTAGAGATGAGGGAAGACCATTAGGCATCTCATCCTGCAGTGTGTTAACAGTGTCTTTATATACTCCTGTCGGCAGGAAGCAGCCTTTGAAACTTTAAGCCAGTTTGGGTTTTGTTTTGTTTTGTTTTGACAGGGTTTCTCTGTGTAGCTTTTGGAGCCTGTCCAGGCTGGCCTCAAACTCACAGAAATCATCCTACCTCCCTCTCCTGAGTGCTGGGATTAAAGACTTGTGCCACCACTGCCCAACTATGCCGGTGGTTCTTAACCTTCCTGATACTGTGGCCCTTTAATACAGTTCCTCATGGTGTGGTGATCCAGCCATAAAATCATTCCATTGTTAATTTCTAACTGTAACTTTGCTACTCTTATGAATCATAATGTAAACATCTGATATATAGGATATCTGGTATGTAACTCCCATGGGGGTCGCGACCCACAGGTTGCTTTAAGGCCAGGCAGACTGTGACACTATGAACTCACCTCTTGTTGGGCCAGCTTTTCCCATACATGGTGACTATCCAGCTTCCTGGCTGTAGGAAAGAGCTACTAGGCAAAAGAAGAACTGAGAAGGCAGGACATCTCAGTGAGTAAAGGTGCCTGCAGCCAAGCCTGAGGATACAAGTTCAGTCACGGTGATCCACATGGGGAAAGGGGAGCACTGAATCCTACAAGTTGTTCTCTGGCATCTACATGGCATGCATGAACACAGCCTCTAACAGACTTTAAAAGGAGAGGCTCTCCAAAAGCATTGTTTGATATCACACACATTTTTTTTTCTCTTCACAGTGCCCCATCATGGGGAGGTTTAGGTATATGGGAAGAGACCAAAGTTAGAAAGTTTGTGCTCTGACTGGAGCCTCCATTTCAAATGGGTTTGGAGGTTCCAGAGCTTACTGCATGAAACTCCCCACCTGCTCCAGCCTCTCCCACCCTCACAGCTGCTTTGTTTTGTCTCCAGGTCTGTGGGCTCTGGTCAACAACGCTGGAATCTTCCACTTTCCGATAGATGGGGAACTCATTCCCATGACCAGTTACAGAAAATGCATGGCTGTGAACTTCTTCGGAGCAGTGGAGGTCACCAAGGTGTTCCTGCCTCTCCTTAGAAAATCCAAGGGTAGGCTGGTGAATGTCAGCAGCATGGGAGGTGAGTCAGCCTGGTGGCACACAGTCAGGCGGCGCCTGTCGTAAGATGTGGGGTTTTGCATTCTTTGCAGGCTACACAAGAAGAGCCAGGCGCACAAAAGCAGGGCTGGGTCACAATGTGTCTTCATGGTTGACCTTTCTCTTCTTTCAAATTCTCTCAGGCGAAAGCACTTCTCTACTTTCTGTTAATTACTGTGTTCATTGCTGGGGATTTGGGGACTCTTAGATGTCTTCATACTATGGCTGCTCACACGTAAGCATTGCAGAACAGCACAGCTCATGGTATGGGTGACGCTGGTGCTTCGGGAAGCTTGTCTTTGGCCTTCTCTGAACATAGCTCACTGCTATTTCCTGTAAGCTGAACAACCCCTAAGGTTGACTGTGATGTCTTCACCTTTGTTGGTTGGGTCCAGGGTGTGTCAACAACCTGGTGGTCTCCTATTTCATAAGCAATGGTCTCTGCATGGGTGGTCACTCCTTGCCTTCTTCCACAGATGTTTGCACACAGGAGTTCCCCAGGCCTTCCTCAGCTTTGGGAGACCTTCTGGGGTATTTCTTGGGTTTCAGCACTGGTGAGAAGGAAGTCAGACAGGTCTGGGCTCTGGACTCCCAGCTCCTGCCTTCTGAGGTGGCACCTAGTCTCTCTGTTAGATTAGTTGATTCTAAGTAAAGGTCCAACTAGGTTTCTGGTATTTAGGTAGGGGTGTGTGTGTGTGGTTGTAATGTGATCAACTGTTCTAGAATTTCTTTGGGGGAGGTCTATCTGTCTGTCTGTCAGTCTGTCTATCTTTCCTACACCATTGTTGCTGTTTAACAATTCTTTTTCCTGGCTTTAATTCAGTCACTTCCTCAAAATTAACTGTTGTGTGCCTTTGATCAGAGTCACTGACTGGTCCAAGGTATAAGCAAGGGAAAGAGAGAGGGCTAAAAGGGTTACAGGGGAAGAAATAAATTGATTTGTGATTAGGAGCAATTATTTACCTTTATGAGAAAACCAGATTAATTACCAGATGTTTGCTACTTTTCACACACAAATGGAACTAAAGGAATCTCACTTGTAACATCTGTGTATGGTGTGTGTGTGTGTGTGTGTATGTGTGTGTGTGTTTGTGTACTCATGCCTATGAGTGTATACTTGTACACATGTGTGTGCAAATGTATATGGAGGCTGGATAAGGTTTCCACCTTATCTTTTGATAGGGTCTTGACTGATTTAGCTAGATTGGCCAGTCAGAAAACCTTAAGGATCTTTTTTCTTTACCTTCTTAGCCCTGAGGGATTTGCCATTATCATCGTTCCTCTTTTTTTTTTTTTTTTTAAATTGAAAGGATTGGTTTGAACTCAGGTTCTCATGCTTGCACAGTAAGAACTTTACCCGCTAAGCAATTTTTCCAGCCTCCAACAAACACGAAACACTTTACCTTTGTCTTTGTTCTGAACTTGGCTTTCCGATTTTCAACTCTTATGAAGCTCACCACTCCCACTGTCCTGGTATCCTCTGTTACTTCTAGCAAAGCCTCACACAGTCCTTGACTCATCCATTCAGCAAATATTTACTGAAGTGACTGTGGCCTTTTCCTTGGCCCATTGACCAGGCTGCTTTTCTCTTTGCTGTCTTTGTTCTTACTTTGGGAAGTCCCTTCATTGGTAAGAGTTTCTTTAGTTCAGTGGTCTCTAACACCGAGTAAGTGCTATAGATATAGTATCTGGCAGGAAATAGCACCAGTAAATAGATGAACAAATACATTTGGGCCTTGTGGTGCCTGCGTGTAATCCCAGCACCACAGAGGCAGAGGCAGAAGAATAATGAGTTCATACTGAACTTATTACCTCTGTAATCAGCTTTGGTACCATAATGGTTCAAAATCAAAGTAAGAGCTGGGGAGGTGGGCTCAGTCGGTAAAATGAAGACCTGAGTTCGATCCTCAGACCCTAAATAAAAAAGCTAGGTGTGGTGGCATTACCCTTATAACCCCAGCACTGGGGAGGTGAGACAGGTGGATCCTGGGGCTTTCTGGCCAGCTAGCATACTCTACTTGATAAGTTCCAGGCCAGCGAGAAATCTTGTCTCACAAAGAAAAGAAGGTTATGCACCCGAGGACAACTTTGTGTACAATTGCCTATATAACACATATAAAAGGGCAATTCATGGAGCTAGGGAGATTGTTCAGTGGTTAGAGCATTTACTGCTCTTGTCCAAGATCTGAGTTCAATTCCCAGCTCCTACACAGTGAGTCACAACCCCATGTAACTCCAGCTCCAGGGGATTTGACATCCTCTGCTTACATCTTCAGGCTTCTGAGTGCACAGGGTGCATAGAAATTCACACAGGCACAAACACAAATGCAAATAAATAAAAGCTGTATATACATACATATACATATACATACACAACACACACACACACACACACACACACACACACACACACACAATCTACACATTTACAGGAGTAACCAATTAGTGTGTCATCAGCTTGATGATGCAACTCTAGGCAAAACTGATACAAAAGTGGTTTGGGAAGGTGTCATTGCTGCTTGCTTCTTGTTAAAGCAGGAACAAACAGGGCACTCACTTCTAGGGTCTGTTGTGGAAAGGAATCCTGGTTATCTGGACCCATCAGACTGTCTGGAGTCTGAAATCTCCGTTACCTTGGTGGAACTCCCTACAAGCTAGGAAGAATGAGCTGGAATGTAAAAGTCTACTCAAATCATTTGTGGCTACAGGGTTAATTGCCCAAAGACAGCAAAGCTGCTGTGAGGAGGCAGCTGGTCTCATGAATAATGTGAGAATCACCCATAGACATCGTGGTGGTTTGTTACAGCAGCAACAGGAAGCTAATACACCTGATTTGACCTAGATAACAGATCAAACGCGTCTAGGCCTGTCATAGTTTCTTTATAAGAAAGGTACTTCTACATTTCCTACCAAAAGGCCGGCAGACTTCCTTTTCCTATACCCAACAAAGGTTGTGAGTCATGGCTCACTGTACCTCAAGCTGTCTGAACAGGTATCTTGGGTGATGTCTTCTGTTAGTTTTATCTCTCAACCAGATAGCTGACAAGACATTCTTCCTGCAGTAACAAATGTGTCCCAATTTAGCACTCTCTCTGTGGGAAAATCTCTTTTATCTGTGGTTTGTATTACATGCCATGCCAATACCAAACATTTCCCTTTTCTCCCCACTTTTATTTAACCTGGGTACACATGAAAATATCTCTTTATTCTTTAAACATTATTGAATCTCCTTATTCTTATTTTAAATTACACTTATTTAGTGTGTGTGTGTGTGTGTGTGTGTGTGTGTGTGTGTGTGTGTCTGTGGGCACATGTGTAATGGTGAACTTGTGGTCAAAGGACAACTTTGGGATTCAATTCTGTCCTTCTACCATGTGGGTCCCAGGGATTGAGCTGAGGTCCCCAGGCTTGGAGGCAAGTGATTTTGTCTGCAGAACCATCCCACCTACCTACTACTCAATCTTTGCCCATTGCTGAAGTAATTATTAGTTCTTTAATCACCCCCACGAAGTCTAAACCAACCCCAGAAAATGTATTTTACTAAACCCTTAGTGGGAAGATGGAGGAGAGGGTATATCGGACAAACAAACATGTTTTAATGCAAATCCCCTTTAAATGCTTCCACGTATCTTCAGTTGCTGTCCCTTGCCCTCTGGTCAGCTTTCTTCTGTCTTCTCTGCCTTCTCTTCTCTTCCCTTCTTTGCTTCCTATGTCCTCCTTTTCAGACACTTCCAGCATGTTCCTTTCACATCCTCTGCTTCTTAGATGTTCAGTGACCTGAGAACCTTGATAGGCTTTGCCCTTCTTAGGAGTGAAGAGAAAGCAGAGGAGAAACAGCAAGGATTAAGGGTACACATTGTCGGCCATATTGATTTCCTGTCAGGACCTCTTATAGGTCAGCTTCCTTCCTTCACTCACCCTCCTCTTCATCATTTCCTTCCCTAACTCTTTCCCTCTTCTTGGGTGTCCCCTTCTTCTCTAGGATCTTGATCCATGGCTGGCTCTCCAGCAAGTCATCAATCATTTCCCCCCTGTCAAAAGCTGGAAGATAGAAAGTTGGGGGTCTACTCCACTTGTTAGTTGAGTGACACTCCTGGAACCCCCAAAGCCAGGCCTGATTTTCTCCTTATAGAATGAAGGGAGTGGGAGGACTTAGCCCATACTCACCCTGGGGAACTCTCCCCTGTAGTTAGCTCTCCAACTCGAATCCCAGCAAAGTAGGTGGATAAATATTTAACCAAGTATTTAAAGAATTGGGAAAGACTGATCTAAAAGCTTTTCCTGGACAATTTTCTTCTTAGAAAATCAAAGTAAATATTTGTGCACAGCCTCACAGTGTCCCTGAATGACAACAAACTGGAAACAACCTCTTCTTGAATGACCCTAGCTTTAGGACTTTTGAGTCAGGCAGCATCTTTTTTTTTTTTTTTTTTTTTTTTTTTCAGGGTTTCTCTGTGTAGCTTTGGAGCCTATCCTGGCACTTGCTCTGGAGACCAGGCTGGCCTCAAACTCACAGAGATCCGCCTGCCTCTGCCTCCTGAGTGCTGGGATTAAAGGCGTGTGCCACCAACGGCCGGCCTAGCATCTTTATCTTTTGTTATCAGCTGGTGACATGGAGATCCTTGACGCCCTAGAAGAAAGCAGCACCTACTTCCCATTGGTGACAAATTCTCAAGCTCTGCCACTTGTCCATGTGGTGGTCATTTTGTTCAGGGGGAAATTGCTTTTCTTCATATTGTCTTCTCTCTGTTGAGGGAGGAGAATTTGCAGACACTGGGGCCTCTGAGTCTTGTATTCCTCCTGAATTGGGGAGGCATCTTGGTTAAAACATCACCTAAAGGAAGCAAAGCAGAATAAGTGTGTGCATGTAGATCCCTTTCCATAGAACAAAGGACAAATGTGCTCTGTAGGAGGGAATTAGACCTGGCTTTGGGGATTCCAGGAGAAACACTCAACTAAGAAGTAGAGTATAATGCTACAGAA